CCGGCTCCTTTGTCCGGGGAATTTGCATAGAATATGGACAAGGTCTCGCCTTGAAATATCTGAGGACCTGAAATATTCTTACCTGCCCAATGGATTGTGCAATCGAAACTGGAGCAATTAACCTCCCTGCTAATTGAGTCCCCGAAAGCGAGATTTATCACTGGAAATCAGCTTAGGGCTATTATGTTGAATGGGATTTCGATGGAAGGGATTCTACTTTTATGTGCCTTTAAGAGCCTTGCAGGAAATTATAATAAAATCATGCATTTTTCAAAGAAACTATAAACCAATAAAGTAGTTTTCCTAATTGACGTTACTAAATAATATTCTAGAAATATTTAGAATTTTAATCTTTTATAATGTTAGGGCTCTGATAGAAAAGCAATTCTCAGGATCTAACAACACCAACAACTGATTGATTTTTATTGCATATTGCTTTCCTCAGATATCGAGAGATAGACAGACTTTGACATGTTTCAGGTCACTGCATTTCCAGCTGCAAAATATCACTCAAAAAATATTCCATTTCGCCTGTCAATCATGCAGCGCTTTGATTGCCATGCAATATAGCAAATATTTCTGCGTATGCAACAAATTTGCGCACAATTCGCATTTCGCTTTTGATTGATAACGGCACGCAGACCGAAAAAAAGGATACATAGTGGATACATGGCCGGCATGCAAATATTTCCAGCACCTCCCCCCAAAGAAATCTGCAAAATTGAATCATTTCACAGTGACAGCAAAATATGAAATCAGAAATGGAATTACAAAAACTGGCAATACACCAACCAACAGCACCTGCAGTCGGAACGGAAACGCGCGCAAATTGAATTGTGTCACCCTCGGAGAAAATCACCCAGCCCTTCGCCCCAGTGCCCCTCGGCCCCCCTTTGGGCATCGTCTGTCAGTGAGTTCTTGAGGTGAAAATGCAATTATTTATTAGCAGAAAAAACCGAATCTAGCCCACGCACACTGGAAAATGTAACGATATAGGGCCAGTTAATAATACTATTTGAAGTTGAAAAATGGAAATTGAGCAAATACCTTTATAAATTTAAAATTAAATTATGTAATCATTATTTATTATTGTTAAGAAAATGTTATTTTTTATATTTTTATATACCCAACCATATATTGAAATTTTTGGCCTTCAGCTCGAAGTGTTATTCATGTTTTTTAGACTTTTGAATAATAAAATATTTTGAGAGTGTTCCCTGAATTTTTATATTTGAACAACATATTTGAATAACAACTTCCCAGAAATCTTTTAATTATCATAATTTCGTTTGAAGCTCATATGCATAAAATAATAACTGTTGTGGGAATTTGCTGTAGCATTTGCTCGCTGTGCAGAGCGTTATCCCTCCGCTCCGTGTGGAAAGCCGGAGCGAATCCGTCCGTGTACATGACGCCAATCAAAACATGACGCACGGCCCACAGAGGGCGCCACCGTGGCCCAACGCACGTAACGATTTGGTCGCTCTGCGGGAAGCCAAAAGGGAAAGGTTCGGCGGGGCAACGGGGCGGATGGGTGATAGCTGACACGGGCACGTATGTAGAATTAGTTTACGAATTGCTGCAGGATACGTGGCCCAACATTTTACAGCAAACATTTCCCCCACACCCCTCCCCCCGCACAACAAAAAGGGGCCTGCACGAAACGAAGGACCCGGAGTTGGGTCGAAGTAGACCCAAATGGCACAGTGGGGAACTTGTCAAATAAAGAACTTATCGAAGTTATTTTGGAATTTTCGTATTCAAAGCCATCCGGGGTGGGACGAACCCAAAATCTAAGGAGATGCCGATAAGAATCTTGGCCAGGTTTGATTTCTCAGCTGCTTTTCTTTGGGGGGAGTTCATATGGGGGAGTGTTTTTGACGGCCAATATTTATCAAGATGGAAAAATTGGATAATATACTGACCATACAATGAAGGGGAGGGTTTAGAAAGACAGGCTTTTTTGAGACAAAGGATGGAAAGGGATTTATACATATTCTTAAAAAGGAAATAATACAAATAAAATATTGATTACTTTTTAAAGTGTTTTCTTAATGTTTGTAATGAAGGGAATACATTAATATTATTAAAATGGAAAAAATATAATTTTGAACTTTTTAATTGCTTTTAAAATTTTGGCAATAAGAAAGGTGATTTCAAAATTTTATAAATCTAAGGAGTAAAGTTTAAAATACTTCCACAGTGGCGAGAACGAAAAATAGACAAGTGTGCAAAAATGGGAAGACAGCAACATCATAGTTGCTTGGCAGTCGGGGGAATTGGCTGGGATTTCGGTGGCAGGGCTTTAAAGCGGGGGCTTTGGCCGGGAAATTAGGGAGGGGGGCATTACGGGTGGCCAGAGGAAAAGCGGAGAGCGGAGCGTCTCGAGAAGTGAGCAATTTGGAGCGCTTGTAACGCGGCGTCTGCCGACAAGCGACGCAACCTGAGGCACACAAATTTTGGCAGCTCTATTAAGCGATGCCGCTCCGGATCCGTATCCGGAAAATCCCCCCTCCGGCGCCCCAAAGAAGAGCCCCAGAAACCCTTGCCCACCTTTTGCCCAAAACTTTTTTTTTGTTTGCCTCTCTCACAGTTCGTTGATTTTTCTGGCGCGGGACAAAGGGGTAAGGTAAAGGAACTTTTCCAAGAAAACTTGGCCATGTGTATGTGTGCGGATTTTGAAATGAATATGCATGGGCCGTGGAGGGGCGTGGCTGGTCGGGGGGCGGGGAAAACTCTTAGCAAAAGTAAATTTAAAAGTTTTTATGCGCTACTGTCGGCGTGTCCGCCTTGGAGATATGTATACCTAAATATATATGAGTGGAGTGCGCACTTTTAGACAAGTTTTCTAGTTCTTTCCCGTTACAAAGTCCCCCTGAAAACCCCTTTTTTCGATGCCGTAAAATGTGCGATAATTCACATAAGCATTCTTATCATGTGTGTGTGTGAGTGCGGGGGTGGGGGTGGGGCGTTGCGAGTGGGCGTGGAAAATGATTTGAGTGTATGTGTGTGTGTGTTAAGTGCGTGTGTATGCGTACTTCCTGCGGAAAGAAATCACCTACCGAGCATTTAGGCAAGCGAAGTTTTCCCGGCTCACGTTCCACTCGAAAGCCATTAAACCGACCCCAAGCAAAAATATTAGTACGCTCATATTCATAAAAGTGATCTTTAAATTGTAAGAAAAAACTGCAGATATTAATATATTTTGATTGCATAATTGTTTGTCCACTTTACTGAATTCAAGAAATATTCCTTGTTACTTTGAATAATTAATTGAAGCTTTAATCAGGTTTTGATTGCAGATTTACATCACAATTATTTTTATTTTTTCTGACGCTTTGGGTTGTGCCATAAAATTGATATGAAATAACTAAGAAATTGTAATTCCATGGGAATAATAAGTCGTCAAATAGTCCCATTGGACCTTTTTTCATAGCTTATTTAGAACATTAAGGAATTTCCCAGAACACATTTAAATGAGTGCTATTTAAATTTCCTAAGAAATAAGCAAAATAATTGGAACAAATTATATAAACTTTATATTTTATTTAAATTACTTAAAAATATAAAAGAGATTTTGGAGAATTGTGGAAAATGCAATTTAGATAATGCTGGAAAGCGGATTTAAAATAGAAAATATCTGAGAATCTCCCTAACAAAGAAGTATGAATCTCTCTGATTTGCATAGTTTAGAATATTCAGATAATTTGCATACCAATTCACCAAGAGGGGATATTCCCCTTAAAGACGCCTCTGCAAATCCGTTGGAGCTAACAAATCGCGCACATTTTTCCTAGCTAAGGATATCGCCGTAATGGCTCCTGGTTTCTGTTTTCTGGCACCTGGCTTATTACTAACATTTTCGCACGTACGCATCCGAAAACCATTTAAATAACGCTCCATCATCTAACCCACCCACGACTGTGTGGAAACTTTTACACGGCAGCACTGTTGCTCCGGGCTGCTGCGCTTCATGGACTCCTGGATATGTTTTCCCCCCACTTTTTCCACCCCTTTTCAACCCGCTTTTCCCCCGTTTCCCACCTGGCTGGCGTTGATAAATGCACGGAGCATAAAAGTTTGAACAAACTACTTGAGTTTTTAGGCAAATTTTCGCCTCGAACTAGAACGTAAAACGTAGCCAACTACTTTCCACTTTACCTGGCGGCGTGCCACGCCCCCTTTGCAGCAACGCCCCCCGGCACGCCCCTTACAAATCGCTGGGCCCATTAGAGGCTTGGCAAAAACGCCGCTAAATGCGACGTGAATTATTTAAGGCACGTGTGTTGTGCAGAATGCGGCAAATTCGACAGTGAAATGCATTTATTATTGAAGATATTGTCGGTGTCTGCAGGGGGAGGGGGATGAAAAAATACGGAGGGTTGGGGGCTGTATCCTTTTGGCCAATTATGTGGGTGGCTTTTAGGGGCGGCGGACGAGAGGGGGCTACATTTTGATAAACGTTTTACAGTTTGAGAACTTTTCTTTTCTCGGCTGGCACGTGATTGGAATTACGCGTGTTCCGCCCTTGGCCCTCAGCCAGAAATTCACACAAATCCACAAAATGTAGGATGGATAAAGCAGAGGTTTTTCCAAGGAGAGAAACAGAGATATAGAGTGTGTGGGCTTGTGAGTGTGGAACATGTTTGCCATTTTGGCAATCGACAAATGTTGCACACACTGTGAGAATTAGCATAATTTAGTTTTCGCGCTCGGGGCGTTCTCGAATCTCCAATCCGTCGCATCGCATCACGATTATCGGAATTGATTGAGTGCAAAGCACTTCAGGTGGAATAAATCTTTTTCCTTTCAAATATATCAATAGCATTTTCGGCGAAATTGATATTGATGAAATGTATACGCGGTAATCTAACCAGAATGATATCAATTACAGTCCTTAATTTAATTATAAAAAAATCCAAATTAATTTAATATGTTTTTTATTTCCCAATTTCTTATTTAAATTCGCATTATTGCTCCCAAACCATAAACATCGTTAATTGTATATCTCTAAGTGATGTTTTATTCAATTGCAGAGTAGTAGAAAATGGAATTACAAAAAGGTTTTACAATAGCTGAGGGCATGCGGAGTAGCTAATGGTTTTACATCTGACGATTACTTGAAGGACATTCGGGGTCCCTTTTCTGTTTAATTGCACCTGAGAAGAAGCCTAAAAGGAACGGTGGTATATATTGTAAAATGAACAAAACTGTGCAACCAATTTTCGAAATTTTTTCAAAATATTTTTTGTTTAATTGTATTGAATCTTTTGACCTATAAATTTAGTATTAATTAGTGCTGTGATAATAATTTGGTCTTCCCTTGCCTTCTTAAGTTTTTCTCAGGTGTACCTAGAGCCTTACAGTCCCTAATTTCTCAGTCTTCAGTTGGCAGCTGGTTCGCCGGCACCATGGACGTGGAGGATCATCTCGAAGGGATCCCACTCGAGATCGGATTCGTGCTTGACCCGCCGCCGAATGGCCTGTGGGTGGTGGGGGTGGTGCATGGCCAGCGGCGGATGGTGACCCTCCTGGTGGTGGTGCTGCACCAGGCCGATGGGCATGTCCTGGGCATGCTCCACCAATCCCGCCGGCGGCTGTGGTGGTGGACGGTAGTGCTGCAAGTGCTGCGACGGATGGTGCTGCTGCTGCTGCGGTTGCTGGTGGTGCTGTTGCTCGCTGACGATCTCCTGGATCTGTTCGCGGGTCTGCTCCCGCTCGTCGACCTTCTTCAGCAGGATGTCGCGCATGAAGCCCATCCGATCGAAGTGCTCCCACGTGGAGCGGAAGCCCTGATGGGAGTACTGGGCATGACGCTCCTTCTGCAGTTCGTCCACATACCGCTGCTTGATGATCGACCAACGCGTCTGCATAAGGGCTGCAAGGAATCAAATGGTTTGGGAAAAAGGATTAGGTCCCAAAAGGGAAAGAGAAAAAAAAACCGATAAGAAATAGGGTTATTTCTACCTTATTTCATATCAATAAAAAGCCGATATGATTTATGTCAAATTTAAGATTCAAACATATCAAAATGATATTTTATCATATCATAAAAAATACCAAAAGTAGAATTTTTTTCTTTATTCATATCAAAATGATATGAATAACTTGATCTTTAAAAAATATCAAATTGACCATTATCATTTTCTTTCCTGTGTAGGATTATAATATTAAATAACAACTTGAGATATATAATATTCCTTAGAACTTTAGTTCTACTTACTTGGGGTCAGTCCCATCTCGATGGCCGCCTCCTTCCAGACGGCCGACGTTCTGCTCTGACCCTGCCCCTTTTCGCTCCGCTGGCGTCCCGCCCAAAGTGACGGCCGTGTCTTGATCGCATCGATGATACGCCCCCGCATGCTATTGTGCAACGAACTGGGGCGGCCCAATTTGCGCGGGGGCGTGGCCACTGCCACATCCGACATCACTGCAGCTGGCGGAGGCACCAGGCCGGTGAAGGCGGTATAGGTCATCCCGTGACCCTGACCATGGGGCGGCTGAGCGATGAGATGTGGCAGTTGGGGGGCGGTGGGGGTGGCAGCGGCCTGCAGCCAGCTGAAACTGCCGCTGGGTCGACCGCGTCCATGGGAGGCGGTGGGCAGAGGGGGTGGCGGCACTGGGGCAGGCGGTTCCTCACCCACAGGCGGCGGTTCCGAGGCAGTGGTTGGAATTTCGGAGGAACCGCCACCACCACCACCGCCACTGGACTGGGCGCCCACGATCTTGGCCACCGTTATGTTGTACATGAAGGACATCGGCTCGAAGTGCTCCCATTTGGTATTGAAGCGATCCTTGTGCAGAATCTGGCGGTGGACCAAGTTGTGGTAGTGGTACTTCATTTGGCTCCAAATCGATTGCAGCTTAACTGGTCAATAAAATATTTATTATACAACATAAAATAATAATAATAAAAATGGAGGACTTTTATTATGGTACTCTTCTTAGCCAAGATGCGTCATTTCATTCATGAATAATACAACATCTAGTGGTATAGTGAAGAAATGTAACATTATATTGAGCCACCCAATTGCATTTATCAAAGTACATTACACCCGTCAATTATTTCTATTGCGAGTGCTTCAATTTGCATTTTATAGTGGTGTAGACTCTTCTATTATTCCAAACGGACGGAGACCTCCAATTCCTATCCAAAATGCCCTTTGGGTATTTATAGACGAAGTACAGTGGCGTACGTAGGGGGAAAGGTTATTTTTCTACAATATTTTGGATCGCATTATTTGACAGTAGTAGAACTTGAACTCGGTCAATGCAGATAATGTAGGATCAAAATGATATGATTTCATATCAAGCTAGATTTTCATTTCGCTACTTTTAACATACAGTTTTTGAAAAATGTTATGCTAACGTGTTTGGTATGATTTTTAGCCCCCTCAGAAAAGCTCACGACTGCGCCACTGGGCGCTCACTAAAAGAGAACGCGAAAGGAGAGCGCGAAAGGCAGCAACAAATACAAATCGGCACCGGTTGCGAGTGGGCGAATGGGGCAGTGGCGCAGAGTGTGAGGGGGGCTGTGGAAATGAGAGAGGCGTTGGACTGTCGTCCTTGTCGCACTCACCTGTCGGCACATGACCGCCGAACTGCTCGGCGATCTCGGTCCACATCGGCGATGTGACGCTGCGGCACATGTGCAGCTTGTTGTTGGAGTCCCAGATCTCCGGATACTTCTTGATCGCCTTCAAGAGCTGGGCGCGATTCACGAACGGATCCTCCTTGGGCATGGTCACACTGAAAGTGGCTCTGGATGATACCGTATTCCGGGGTTCCCCAATGCTTTCAATGGTTCCAATGGCAACGTGAAACAACGCCGGCGGAGCACAACTGCGTCCTTTGACATCAATTATCGGCGAATAACTGAAAGTAGAGTTTGCAAAAATATGCGAATTGAAAATGAAAAGGCACAGCGATTGAGGAAAATAGAGAAAACGATGACGGCGACGGCGACGCCAGCTTTTCGTTGTTGTTGCCCCGATGCCGAAGAGATTGGAAAGGCAGCGAAAGCGTACACGAGATGAGATACACAAAATGCAGGCGAGAAGAGAGAACAGGGAGAATGTGCAAAAAAAAGCAAAATAAAGCTGAAAAAGTAAGAAGACAACAACAAAAACGAGGCAGCGGCAGCGACGACGTCAGTTTTACATACAAAAGTCTCCGCTTGTAGGTGTATGGGTGAGTGAGTGTGTAAGATGGCAGGGCGAAAAAGCAAAACAGACAAAGGCAACAAGACCAAAGAGGAGACAGACAAAAAGCAACAACACAACGCAGCAGCAGCGAAGCTCAGAGCTGCAAAAACCGAAAAACAACAGAGAAGAAAAGCACAGAAAGGAGAAGAAGAAGAAGAAGGAGGAGGTGGAAAAAAAGCAGCGGGCAGGCAGCCCAAAAGAAAGGCGACGATAAACAAGCTACCTCTCATTCGATGGGGTCTCTTTCCCTCTCTCTCGCTCGCTCTAACTTGGAGCCACCGAAAAAGAGGTGGCGAAGGAGAGGAGTGGGGAGGGGGAGACGAGCATTAGAAGCAGCGAAAAGCGAAACAAAAGAGCAGCGAAGAGTGCAAAATGCAGGAGAGCAGAGAAATCCACGATGACCGAAGTCGAGAGGCGGTGATGGGACCCATGGGGATGGGGATGGGGAGTGGAGCGAAAGAGAGAGGGAGGAGGCAGGAGAAGGAGACCCGGAGTCCGAAGCCCGGCTGTCTAAACCGGAGACCCAGCAACAGCACCAACAACTGCAGCAACTACAACTACGACCAGGGCAAACAACAACTGCAGCACGAACACGCAACAAAGTGACGAAGTAACCGACGGACAGTGGGGCGCGTTGGAGGCATCACAGTAATGCACATTGGGCAGTAATGTCACATCTGGCTTGGCTTTTTTTTGTAAAACTGCAACATGGACTAGTGACAGTTTCAAAACCTTTTTCCTTTAATTTAAATATAATAAACATTTTTAAAATAATAAACAATATTGTTTTTTAATTTTAAATTCTTTTTACTTTTTTTAAACATTTTTCAAGTTTTAAAACCTAATTAGCTATTAAGGAACACCAAAAATTAAAGCATTTCCATTACATAATGCTGCGCCACAAAGTAGGCAATACATTTTATAGCGCAGATTTGAGCATATCAAGTATCCGCTTGAATCAAGTATACGTAAATAACATAATAATTCGTAAAATACAAATTTTTAAAAAATTATTTTTATATTTGTATAATAGTATAAATACATTTTTATTTTATTTTATATTCAAAAAGTTTAAAATGGATAACAGGTAATATAAATAAGGCCAATGAATATTAAAGTAACTAAAAAAAGAATTATAAAGTTTTAAAATATTATTTAAAGATTAAGTTTTGTTCTAAACACTTTTAAAACCACTCAATAATGTGTCCAAAAGTATGCAGTGAGGAGAAAATTGCACCTTTTATTATACAAGTTACGTTTTTCTTCAGCCATTATTTCGCCAGATTTAGATTGTTTCGTGCGAAATCGCCATCACTGGTGGGTGGGTCGTTCGGTCGGTTGGTCGTTCGGTCGCTTCGTCGTTGGCCGTTTTGGGCGCTGTGCGTGTGTTTGTGCGAGTGTACGTGCAATGAACCCGCAACTACAACTGCACACAATTGCAGCACGCACACTCGCACACCCGCCCACACACGCACACCGGGTGCATGGGTATTGGTAGCGCTTCGTAGGCGCAACGTTCATTTACTCAGTGCCCCAGACCCCGATGCCGAGCAGCGACCCACCAGCAAGGCACCTCCCGCACCACCCACCTCGTGCCTTACCACACCACTTACCTCTCCACCAGCACCCACCACCCCCTCGTAGATATCTACATTCAACGGGCGAGAACGAGACTGCAAAACAAACAAGATTCGGCATAAATCAGAGGTGGTCAACTATTTACATAGTGGGGTGTTTGTGTTCGGGAGCGGATTTGTGTTACTAAAAATAAACCAAAGAGTGCCCATTACAACGATTTCAAAATTAACAAATAAAAGAGCGGAGAGAAAGTTTGAATTTAGTGTTTGCAATACTTTATTGGATCAGTGTAAAGTAAAGTAAGGAGTTACTGACCTATCACTTTAACGCTATTTTATTTATTACGACATGATAGCTTTAGGAACTAGAAAATGGGTTTAAATAAATTTCTTGATTCTTGAGAAATCTCTTAGGTTGCAAGAGTCATAAAGTAAATATATATTTTTGTTATGCTGCTAAAATCAAAATATTATGCTGATCTAAAACAAAAGAACATTAATCTCTCTTTTTATGGGCTAGACATTAAAATAAATTTAAGTACCAAATGTTTATACACAACTCGTTTTAAGACACCAATTAGATGTCTTTGCTATCCTACGAAAAAAAACCAACAAAACGATTAAGATAGGACCATAAAAAAAATGAAATGGCTCAAAAGGCACACACACAGTACATAGAGATATCCACATCGAAGATGAAAGTCACTCAAGAATCAATTCGATTAGTGCCAATTGCTCAGTATATGATGTGACTGTACGAAATGGGCCTATTTCCTGGCATAATTTAGCAATGAATTGGGGTCGGATTGGGGATGAGCTACTTAGCCGTGCCCCCGCTTAATTATTCAACGACAATGGGCAATTGTCAATGGCGACTCCATCAATCCGAGATGGCCACTCCACTGTGCCACAGCCCCGTGCATCTGTAATGCGGCTGTTAATGTTTTTAATGTCCCCCGTTTTATTGGCTACTGTTGCGAGCTATCTTCGTGGCCCTGGATCCGTAAATATATCTGCGAGATGCGTAACTATGAACTTCCCCCACTCCGAGCCGCATAATGAACGCACACGCACTTTCTTATCGGCCGAAAAAAAGGGAGTGGGACGGCGTCTTTAATTTTTATGGCAGCATAAATGGTCCACCGTAATTTGCTAGATTAGAATTAATTTGAGTCGCAGTCGGGCAGCCGGGGAAGAAGTACTTGCGAGTACAGTGAAGCCAGCCGTTGCTTGGACACTTCAAGGGCATATAAATTGGTATTTAAACATAAATCGATATAAGCTATATAGAGTCTTATTTTCAAAGAGGTGTATTGGGTGTATACCATAAGTATTTCCAAATAAAGGATATAAAATGTAATACAATCAGAATGTTAAAATTCTTTTAATATGTATAAAAATTGAAAAATAATATTTTAGTTTCTATACAAATTTCCTTTCCTTACATAAACCATTCAAATCTTCAGAATTTATTTTTTTCCAAGTTAAATATTTCCTAACCCATTATTATTCGTTTTACTTTAAGTTTTCTCTGCTACTTTGTAAGCTCCACTGTGTCCATAATTCTGTGCACTGTCAATGCCTGTGGACAAACTTCGACAGTAAAAAGTAATGTATCTGGGGATGGATTCAGCCCGGGTCGGCCGCACATCAACTGCACACAGATAGAGAGGCTGCTAGGTCCCGGGCTCCAGGTCCCAGGTTCCAGATTGAGGTCCAGACCCAGGCACAGGCACAGGCTCCACATCAATTGTCGTTCTGCGGATCGGCAGGGACCATGGAGCTGAAGCTGAATCTGAAGCTGGGGCTATCTGCTGTCTGTTGCCTTTGTTGGGTTTTTATTTTCATTTATGCTTTTTAAGTGCTTCATTAAAATCGCGTACGGCAACGGGGGCTGTGGGATGGTAAAGGGGGTGGGGAGACCTTTGTCAGCGTCATCATCGTGGCACACACAAGCAACAACAAAAAGTATCTTTCGGATACATGTCCAAAAAGCAACGAAAGAAAGCAACATGGTACGAAAAAAAAGCACCAGCGACGACGGTGAAAATAAATAAAAAGAATTAAATCCAAACATGTTTTTACTCAGTTCGCTTCGTGGCTCTGGCTGTGCCTTTAAAAAAACGAAAAATCGGGGGAAAAAATCAAAGCAAATCCAACTTTAACAGAGAAAAATATTCTGGGGCTTTTGGTATAAAGTTATAAAGATACGGTTTTTTTAATAAATCCTTTAAATAAAATATGATGACTAAAATACATATATATTTTATAGTTCCCTTCGGAAATTGAGAGCTAAGATTTTTTAAAAGCTAGAAATTAACGTGAATTTTTAAAACTAATGGGCAAAAACATCAATATTTAGAATTATTTTAAAAATGTACCCCATTAAGATTAAGATTCAAATGCACCATATTTTTGTCTTAGTGTATTGGAGCTCTGGCTAAAACTCCAACCCCAATCGCAGCTCCAACTCCGGTTTCGAGCCTATGCCCCCTGCATCTGTATCTGTATCTCTGGGTGACTGTGTGCGTTGTATCTTCCACTGCGTGGCAATAAGTGTGCCCCGTTCACGAGGCAATGCAGAAAAAAAGATCAACGGCAACAACAACAAAAAATCAGAAAACAGCATTAAGCATCTTGTTGTTTTTTAAGGTGCGCATATAAAGAGGCCTTAACAGCCAGCCATCCGACCAGTCTTCGGTTCGTTTCCCCATCCTCGTTGAATCCCAGTGGATTAGGTCGAGGAAGTGCGCTTTCAGAAAAATATACCTTCATGCTGAGGATTATGCTTACTGGATATGTGGGTGATAGAAATAAAACCCGTCGTTATAACAATGAGTAGAAGAAATGGGAAATATGGAAAGATAGTTGTGTTCTGAAGTCGAAAATAAATGTAATGTTGTTTTTACTTAAGGGTTTTATGAAAAAACTCAGGTGTTACATTATCTATTTACATATTTGAAGACTCCTATTCAATGTAAGTGCAAAAAAACATAAGATTACAAAGATACCTTCAATATTATTGTTACTTTTTAAGATTTTTTATTATTTTCAAGTAAGATTCAGTTAAGATGTTTACCTTAAGTTGGTTTAACAACTAGCATAGGTAATACAAAACACTATAGCAATAAGCAATTATTTTAAAGTTTACAAAATAAGTTTTTTTAGCTTCTCAAATACCAAATAGTTTTAAGACTCATAAGAAAAAACTGCGAATAATAGTATTCCATGGGAACAAAGCTTCGAGGTCCACTCGTGCTGAATTATTTATGAGTGTAAATCCCTGAAAGTCGCCCACAGTGCAATGGCACCGATTGCCAGCGTCAGAGATAACAACAGCAACTCCGCCAGCGACAGCGGCAGCAA